GGGTCGAGTTTCTAATTCATATATTGAATAAAAATAGTTTTTGATATATTTTTTTTGTAACTAATTAACATACTCCGATTGGAATGTATCGAAATATTACTCTATCTTTTGATAACTTATTAACATATTTTGATTGCGATGATTTTAACTTATGTTGTTTATTAGCATGATTTTTATAATTTATTGAAATAAATAATCAATCAATAAAATGAAAATTTAATATTTTTTTAATTTTTTATAATATATTACTACATGTAAGTTGTAAAATAAAGCAAAAAATAAGAAGGGCAATTCTGTCATTTTATATTACTGAAATCAAATTCATCTAACATGTCTGCGAACCAAAACAGAATATAGAATTAGATTCCAATTCCATTTCCTGCCAACCAAACAGAATATGGAATTGGATTCCAATTCCTGACAGATTTCAATTCCTTCACAGATTCTAATTCCCTCATAAACATTCCAGCGAACTAAACGCCACCTAAGGGTATTCCAATCTTATATTGTGCTTTCGTAATTTTATATTTTAAGACAAAATGACATTATTTGATTTTAAATACTGTAATCATTTCATAATCGCATATTTAAATAATATTAAAATGTAATTATAATATCGTTTATTTTTATGAAAAAACTTAAACTATAGGTATAATATTAAAATTTAAATTAAATTATTTTCTGTTTTCTATTATATTAATCCGTTTGATCATTTTTTGACAAGGTTTAATCATTTTATTCCGAAACAAAATAATATGCTTTGAATAGATAATATATATTTTGAACCGACCATCTGCAATAGTCAGATTAATATTATTTAGGAAAAATAAACTTATTAAATGATCTTAGTATTTAAATTAAATATTGTTATTTCTAAAAATTTTAAATTCAAATAATTACGCTTATAGAATGTGTTGTCCATTTATTAAGAAAATTATTAACATATATTATTTGATATGAACAGTTGAAAAGGGAGAGGTGGTCTTAGCAAAGCTACGGAAGCAAACTTGCGCGTAAGCTTGTGAAGTTGGGTTATCTACGCGTGTAAAAAATTGACACAATCTAATAAATAGATTAAAATCGATTTTAGTTTTAATTGTTTGTGATTCGAAGTGATTGACTCAAAATTAATTTGAGTTTGAATTGATATTGATATGAAGTTGAGTTTGAATTGGTATTGATATAAAGTCGAGTTACATTTGGTTATTTAAGATCTAAATTTGATCTACATCCTATCTGAGAATAATTCAAATTTGAATTAAACTTAATAATGTGATAATTAAAACCGACCTACATTTGATTTGATATGAATATGAACCCAAGAGTAACTCGATAAATAACCAATATAACCGACTTGAAACGATCTAAGATCTTATTTTACCAAACCTGTTATCAATTTGACATATAATTAACTCAATCTATTCATGACCGAATTGTTAATTATGATCATTAGAATAATAAGTTTAATTATGTATTATTAGATTAATAAGTTTGTTTTTTTATTTGTGTAAAATATAATAGATAAATCATTTATATTTTTATATCACTAATAATAATAATTTTAAATTATTAATTATTTTATTTAAACTAATTTTGTTAAATGATTCATTTACTTGACTCAAATTCGATCTTACTCAAATTAAATTATTATATTAACTTGATATAATCCGTATCTAATTTGATACGACTAAATCTAAAACTCGTTCAATTATACGATTACATCACTAAGGTTATCCTTGTGGCTAATGATGAGGTTAAAACGCAAGGGTCAAAAATTGCATTTTGCGATTGCAAAGCGCAAACGGAAGTTACATCTTTTCTAGAAGTAGTTGGGAGAAAGTGGAATACTATAGTAATAGTTGTTGTTGTGGAGGGCGTTGAGAAGGTCTCTTCTTGGGAGGATACTGTGGATGAAACAACAGCTGATGGGAATGGCCATGTAGGGGTTATTATACATTTTTTTATCTTGTCTTTTCAAATAATTATTTCCATCGCTGATTAATTTGAATGATCAATTATCTAAAATTAAATTAATCAAAGTTTTAATCTTTAATCAAATTATCTTTTTAAAATAATTAATCTAACTAAATAAAATTTGGTTAATTCGATATGTGATCGAATTAAAAAATTATGATTTTTAGTGAGAATAGTTAAATATAATAGAGTTTTTTTTTCATTTGAATTAAAATTTGATTGAATCTTAAAAGTTTAATAAATCTAATACGATTATAAAATAGTTGATTTTAATTCTTATAAGGTTTAAACTTAATATATATATATATATATATATATATATAATTTACTTAATTTTCAATATTTTTGGTTAGGTTGATTAATTTGATTAATTAACTGATTTTAAAATAATTAATAATGATCAAACTTTTTTAAAAATTAAGCATTAATCAATTTAACATTAAATTAACCAATTAATTAATTAAACTAAATTTTAATTTAATAGATTAATTAATTTAAAACTGAATAATGATCATCCCTAGGGAAAGGTTGGTCCGAATAGACATACTATGCCCCCTGTATAATGTGACTCATGTGTTTGCATATTGGAATTTGATTTGGCTGGGATTTGAAAGCCTCTCTCTCATGTACCTCTCTCTCTCTCTCTCTCTCTCTCTCTCACACGTGTGTGTATATATATATATATATGGGTGAATATTTTATCGAGTAGAATTAATTTTTTTTTGAATAGTTTGAGTTGATAAGTTATATTTTTAACTTAAAATTAACTTGGAATTTTTTTTGAGTTGTTTAAATTTCTTTAAAAACTTAATTATAATTATTTATAGTATTATGATACGGATCGGTTCTAATCTTCAACTTTTTCTAACTATATACGATATATATATTTCTTCATATTCTTTTTCATATTATAATGTTATTTAATATCTCAAATACAATCTAAAAATATAAAATATATTTACAATATTATATTTTAAAGAAATTTTTTTGAGAGTAACGTAAAGATGATAATATAGATGAGTCAAAGAATTAGTGGAAAGAATGAATTTACAAACAATTGCAGCCAAAAGACCAAATTGAGTAAAATGTAAAGTTAAAAGCTAAATTTAAAAGGAGTGCGATTTTAGTAAAAAAAGGAATTGAAGTTATATGGATATTCTATAATGGTATATTGCATTGGTTCAAATTTGGTCAAAAGAGGACTTAAAATGAATGATGAATTGAAGAAATAAAGAAATCATTAAAAGTTGAGGGATTAAATTGAAAAATATAAAATATCAAAAAGAGTAATTGAAAAGACAGGTATATTCTACGATGATTTAGGAGTATGTGGTTCAAATTTGGTAAAAAATGGACTTAAAATGAATAAGAAATTGAAGGAATAAGGAAATCATGGACTAAATCGCAAAACTATCAAAATACTCATCCAAATTTTTAGTTTTCGAGTGACTTTAAATTTTCAAATTTCAACTAGACTGGAACTCGAAAATCGAATAAAAAATTGAAATGATTCGAATAACTTAAATAACTCGACTCAAATAACTCAAAATTAAAAAAAAAATCGAGTCGAGTAAAATCAAGTTTTATTTACCCCTACCCACTTGTACACCTTTGCTTAAATGTATGAATAATTTTTAAGATAACATAATTAAGGCACACCCATTTCACTAATTAATTTCATTCTTCAGTGTATTATATGCATTGGCCAAATTATTTATTTTTGTTTCCATATAATCCTTTAGGTTATGAATTCTATACTCACGATGAGCACTTCCCTTCCTCTTTCCTCTAAATAAGATTAGGATTAGATTTAGAATTTATGAAAAAAAATCTATAAATTTTAAGATAAACTACATTAATATCATTAACCTATTTTTTCTTTTCCTTTTTATTTATCAAACTATTCTTTTGTAAAAGCATCATTAATATTGTTTAATCAATTTTTAAGGTTGAAGTGTTATTTCTTATTAATTTTATTCATACCAGTTAAAAAGTGACCCAATCAGCATCCAATTGGTTTAAATAAAATAAAAAATAAATCGATACATTTTGGGAGAAGATAATTGATCTAGAAACCTCTTAAATAGTGTTCCTACACCTAGGCAGTAAGTTGAGTATGAAATTTGTTATAATTCATCGAAGTTTAAATTTAAATTTTAAACTTATGTTTATCAAATAAAATAATAATAAAAAGTTTAAAAGGTTATGGAATCCCCTTTCTCTGTAACTTAATACCAAATTTTCTTAGTTTTATTTAACAAATTTAAATATAAAATTTAATGGCAAGGAATCCTTGGTTTGGTTCTCTTCACCTCAAATGTGTCAATTTATTTTCTTTAATTTTATTTAGATTAATTGAGTGTTTGACACATATCACCATTTAGTTATACAAAAAAAAGTAATAAAAAAGTTTAGGCTATGTGATAAAACAAGTGCTTTCTTCATACATTTTCCATATCTCTATGAGCATATAAATTTTAGTGCATGATATATATATGGTCAAATAAATATTTATATTGGTTGGTCGGGGAGGAACAAATTCAAGTGCAGCTCCTACCCTATATCTATAGGGCTAAAAATGTGCCACACATTATATACATACATACACATATATATATATATCAATTAAAACGTCTGCTATATCATTCTCTATACAACCCTTTAACTGGATTGATATTATTCTAAGGTAATATATCTGTGAATGCATATATTTACTATATATTATTTTTATTGCATATATTTTCTTCTCAGATAATTAAAAAAATTCATTTTTTCCAAGGCCCAAAATTTATTCTAATTATGCATCTTGATATATCCAGCTATGAAAAGAAGAATTAAGAGAAAACGTATAAAAAGATATAGATAGTCAATAGAAAAATGATATACATGTCCCATTGAACCAGCTCTCTTACAGTTATATGCATGAGTAATATGCACTCTTATATTCCCTTCTTTTTCCTTTGATAGTTGCCTATCCGCTTAATAATTTGGTTTCACTGTGCTTTTAGTGAAAGCCGGGCAAGTGTTGGCGCACGATCTACAAGATGAGAAAAAACATAACCTCCGGGAGAAAGATTGTATGTTGCGTTTACTAGTTGACCAGACCAGGCGTTGCGTTTCCAAAGAGCTCTCCATCGGTCTATTACTATATACAAAACAAACAATTACTAAGCAATCTTGTGAGGACGACTTCCCTTTTTGTTAAGCAAATGGAAGGAGGAGAAAGAGGAGTCCCTAATTATGCGCTGCAAGTCTCGTTCTCCACTACTCCACAAGCGATCCATGGAACTGGGTTTATACAATTTGAAGAGAACCAAGTTATGGGTTTCATGGCTCCCTCTCTGTCTTCTCATCAAATTATATCTCAGCCTCTCAGTACTTCCCCTTTTAGTAATACCACCAATTCCCCCACCGCCATCAGATTCACCCATAACGACCAGGTATATGTATATAGCTAGGCTCAATGAAAATTGGGTTTTACCAAACACAACCCTTTGTCTTCTTCCCTAAGCTGAATACTGTCTTTTTTTTTTTTCATGTTTCAGTAGTATATGTGGATTTTGTCTACTTTTCTGTTTCTGTATGATTTTTCTTGGAATTCGCGGTGTTAGATTTCTGGTCTTATATATGTATGTTGTTGGTGTGGGAAAATGTTTTAGGTAGGGACCTTAGATCCCGTTCCAAAGCTGTACACGACGCCAGTAACGCCAAGGATGCAAATAATAACTCATGGTATTCTGATTTCTTATCTCTTTTCTCTTCTCTTTATGGGTCATCTTCTCTTTCAAGTATCAACGCACTGGAAATAGTTTCTCAACAAAACTACATGCATATTATGCCCTAGATGTATACAATCCTTTAAGATCTTCCCCGAATCTAGATCGATCTGCCCTAGCTTTCTAATGGGATGCTTTCTGTACACAATATGAACAAGACAAGTAGCAGTTTGATTTTGATATGAGAAAGTCGCATTGATGCCCGAATCAAATAGATAGTGGCTCTTATAAAGCAGCTTTGGGGTTTTGGCAGGTGGAGGAGCTCAGCCTTGGAGAAGAACAAAGTGAAGGTTAGGAGAAAGCTTAGAGAACCAAGATTTTGTTTCCAGACGAGAAGCGACGTGGATGTGCTAGACGACGGCTACAAGTGGAGAAAATACGGGCAGAAGGTTGTCAAGAACAGCCTTCATCCAAGGTACATAACTGCTTTTTTTAATGTTTTCCTTCTCACTTTTACATGCTTCATAAATTCCCTCTTCAGAAACCATGAGAATGTTCAGATTACAGTACAGGGTTATTGCTAAGCATTCCAATGGGTTTGATCAAACGATAACTTTAAACTTACGGGTTGCTAAGTTTTTATCGTTACTCTGTCAACGGTATTCGAATGAGGGGACGAATGAGTTCGCTTAAACATTTATGTGAAACGATCCTATAAAATCAAAAAAAGAAATCAAAGAACAAATGGACATGCATGGGTTTCTGACACAGTTTTTTGCATCATGACTTATAGCAGCCTGTGAAGTGTGAAGAAGCTATTTAAAATAGATGCATGTTAAAGAAAAGCTGACTACTGCTGCATGCGCACTTGTTTGTTCCATCACTCAATCATATATTTTCATTTCAAAATGTGGTTATAGCTTTATATTCACATATGTCTTGTTTGGTGCAGAAGCTATTATCGATGCACGCACAACAACTGTAGAGTGAAGAAGAGAGTTGAACGATTGTCTGAGGATTGTAGAATGGTGATCACAACCTATGAAGGTAGACACAACCACTCTCCATCTGATGACTCTAATTCATCTGAGAATGAAGCCTTTACTTCTTTCTAATTAGGGTTTATAATATCATAAATAATGTATTATATCTTTTGACATATACATATGTATGTATGTATATATGGTAGTTATTTTTAAGATGAATATACAGTTGCAGAATGGATGGTCATTATCTTATGCATCCGGCGTTTCTTACACTAGATTGTGCATGCAGCATATATATTTCATACGAGAAATGACAATCATAAGTCGGCCATTTCTAAGTTCTATAAAACAAAACAAAAATGAATCCAAATCATGTCTTGTTATAAAATAATGTTCACATTTTATATGTTAGAGAAATAACATTCAATCTTATCTAGATAATTGGGCAACTCCACTTACATCCTATGCTGTTTGGATGTTTTCCGCATTGGTTTTTAGGTTTCAATTTATTTTAATTTTGTATATTCATTTTACTATTTATATTTAAAATTAATAATTGACTCTCTTAATAATATTATCTTCATCGATATATCAAATTATATTATGAAAAAAATTACATAGTAAATAAGGGTATTCAAGCTTCGATTTTAATCGAATTAACCAATCGAATCGAAATTTATTTTGGTTAATCGGCCTGTTAATTTTAAGTTCAGTCGATTAATGGTTAAAGATTTTATTCAAACTTCGGTTATCAGTTAATTCAATTTGTAATTGATTAATTAACTGAATAAATTGAATTAATTGGAAATATTTAATAGTTAATATATTATTTTACACAACGTAATTGGATCCTATCTATATAATATATATTATTTATAAATCTCAGTTAATTCAAAAATCGATCGAATTAATTGAACTTTGTTTGATTCGATTAATTTTTTTTGAAAAAAACAATTAATAAATTTTAGGTAATTCGGTTCAGTCGGTTAATCGATTTGACAGTTTGAACACCCCTAACCCTAGTAGAATAATAAAATTGTCAAATTACCCTCTCTAATTTGTTTGTCAAACTAGCCTCCTTAGTATAATCAGGACAAACGTAAGATCTTATCTTAGGGAGCAAATTTTTAAAATTTTACGAGGGGATGAACTTATACAATTATAAGAGGTGAAAACATATTATTAATTAAAAATACAAAGAAGATATTTAAAATATATATGAATTTAAAAAATTCAAGAGGACGACTGCTCTCATCTGCCCCCTTTGATCCATCTCTCTGTATAATAATTATAAAAATTAAATTATTTTATAATCATATTTTAATATAAAAATAAACCATCATATATGTATCAAAACACGACCTTAATTGGTATTCATCAAGTGACCTCGGTGATAAGAATGAAGGTTAGAAGTCCTGAACTCGAATAATTGTGTGTGTCTAAAGGGTGTATGCGCATTGTCAATATTGTAATTACAATCTTAATTAAAATTATTGATATTTATTTTGTAAAAAAAACAGTTATGTATTTCACTTTGGGGAGTAGAATTCTTTTGGGGTCATAAAAGCCCAGATATTCCTAGATCCAATTCCAGCTTTGAGTGTACTTTAACTTGAACCTAACCCAACATCATTACTTTTAGACATCTGTCTCTTCCATTTCTCTCTGCAGGCACAAGGCGCAACAATGGCTTCCAAATTTCTACAGCTCTATAGTAAAATTCGGCTTTTAAATTCCTTCAGAAACCGTATATTTCGTATTTCTTGAGTTTATTTACTTCTGGTTTTGATAGGCTACGATTTACTTCTGGGATCTGTTGCCGCGTTTTATGTGCTCATGGTGCCCTACACTAAAGTTGAAGAAAGCTTCAACATTCAGGTAATCTTCTTTGTTTGATTTCTTTCCGTTGAATTATTTTTTTCTTCATTTTCGCTAGTAAAATCTCATTATTATTTTTTGATTAAGGCTATGCATGATATTCTTTATCATCGGCATCGTTTAGATAACGTAAGTTTACCTTCTCCATATATTCTTTTCTTTATTTCTCACTTTAAAACTATGTTTTCTCTGTAATATCTCTTAATTTTGTGCTTAGTTTTATGTTTGTTTTGATTCTGATATCAGTATGATCATTTGGAGTTTCCTGGTGTTGTTCCTCGCACTTTTATCGGTAAGCTTTGTTGCTTGTAAGAATGAGTGAGTTTAAGAAAATTTGCGTTTAAAACTACTTTGAATCAGCCGCTCTGATAAACTTGGACATCATTGTATGATGCTTTTTTTTTTCTCTCAGGGGCATTGCTTGTGTCAATTTTCGCATCTCCAATTGTATTAGCAGTGCAACTGCTGAAGTTGCCAAAGATTTATAGTCTTATAATTGGTTAGTCATCTGAATACTCTTAGCTGATAGATCTTTGTTTGTTAATTCTAACTGAATTTTGTAATTCCTTATAATTCTTTTAAGACATGCTATGTCAAGGATGCCAATCACAGGATCAGCTAGCAGAAGAAAAAGGGAACATATTTTTGTTTTCATTCAATGAGATATTTGTGTTAATAATATAAGATTTTGTAGCATTTTCTTGTAAAATGTTATATCATTAACATTTGTTCTCTATTCATGCTATTAATTTTTTTGAACTTTTTTTTCTTGGTGTTTATTCAACTGTTGAATTTGCCGGTTTGGCATGTATATTTGCCCACAGTTACTGAGTCAATGTAATTTTTTTTAATTTTTTAGTACGTCTGGCATTGGGTTGCATCATACTATCTACATTACGTTTTTTGCGTATTCAGGTATGTAGCTTTTTCCCTCATGCTGTTCATTTATTCTACTTGTTCTACTTTTAGGTTTAACTTTCTCAGATTTGTCATTGTAGAGTTCCAATCATTGGTGTTTATTTTCTGTTTAAGCAGGTCAAAAACAAGTTTGGACATCAAGTTGAAGTGTTCTTTGTAATATTTACTGTGATTCAGTTTCACCTGCTGTTCTATTGCTCTCGTGCACTTCCAAATATTCTAGCTCTGGGTGTAGGTGATTGCTTCCTGCAGTTTAACTTTCTATATACCCATTTATGTTATTAACAGGAATGCACTTACTTTTCACCCTTATAGTTTACCTAAGGTCCTGGATAGTTTTGTCAATTAGGTGATAATTGGAAGGAACCCTGCTATGTCTTATGTGTAAGACAAGAATGGGTTAATTCATTTCTATAAGTGGGATGTCTGCTCATGTAATTGTTCTGAAGTGATCAAAGGTTCATATACATGCATGTATTACCATATAACTTTTTGCTGCTGTAGATTTATGACTTAAGTTATAGTGTTGCTACTAAAGTTGTTGAATTTGGGTCAGAAGAGTCACTTATTCAAAATGCTATTATAATCCTTTAGCTTTGTAAAGGTGAACAATTAATGCAAAAATTAAAAGAACTTATAAAAAAGTAGGAAAAGGTTTTCACTGTGCTATATTTACTATTTATTTGCTGAAACTATGAACTTGTTTTTGATACAATGCTTAAAATACTTATAACCCTCCAAAGCTAAATTGGAGTTAATTGTGTGCTTAAGCACGCTCAAACCCACAATCTCCGGGTTGTAGCAGCAGCAATGGGGCCACTGAACTAAGACTTAATTGGTGAAATTATGAACTTGTATTTTGTTGTGAAAAGAGTTTTACTACCTAGAGGGCTGGGCAGACTAATTGTCTTCAACATGCACCTAAGAGTGATTATACTTCCTGAGCCGGTTACCATGACTTATGATTGGCAATGTGGATTGAAATGGTTAAGTTTGTTAGGTGGAATTTTTTTTCTGGTTTGGAATATTCAGTTCTTTACAAGCTGAAAGTGATGTTTAGAAAGAAAAAAGAAACAAAACAAGACTTTTTTTAATCAAATAGAAGTTCTGTCTCACAATGAAGGTTGTTCTGGTTTTCTTTGAGTTTTATCTATTCTTTTTCTTGTGAAGAAGTTGATGAAACTTATAATTTTCCTTTATGCAGTAAATTTGGCATACGGGCATTGGTTGAAGGGGAATTTTTATGCTGCTTTAAACTATCTGGTATATGTGCTGACTGCTTAAGCTTACCATGGCTTGTTGATTTCATGATCTCTGATACAACTTGCTTTCAGTTTTAGGTGCTTTATCTTGTAATTTGTGGACATGGCTTACCGATTTTGGCTTGTTTGTATCATCTTACTTTGCTCTGCATTCTTAATGAACAGATCTTTGCTACAACCATCTTTCGATGTGATATAATCTTACTTCTCGGTCCTCTTGGCCTGGAGCTTTTGTTGGTAGGTTGTCGTTTACTGTACCTTCCAACCCCCCCCCCCCCCACAATTTCTTTCTTTCTTTCTCTTTCATATATTCCACTTTCACTTGGGAAATGGTGATTAAAGTTTGTCCAAAACGTGTGTAGCATCACACAGTTTTCTTGTCTTGTCAATTTCTGTCATAGCTGTATGCACAAGCTTCACTAGAAATACATGTTATCCGTTGCTCTCTATTATGAATCAATTGATTATGCTCTCTGATATTGTTTAGTTCTTTTTTAGTTATATATTTGGATTTCATATCATGTTGTTAATTGTTTATTTTAGTTTGTGCTGACTATAAGATTTCTATTTATGAATGACAGACCAAGTCAATTTCATTTTGGAGAGCATTAAAGTGCTGCACTTTGACCACTCTTTTGTGTATAGGTTAGTTGTTCTGCTCTTATAAAATATCAAAGCTTCTGACTAAGGTTTTATAAACTGTTATCAACTTATGAATTTATTCTCAGCTCAGGTCTCACCGTATTGGTTGATTCAATCATGTGGAAGAGGTTTCTTTGGCCTGAATTTGAAGTTTTTTGGTTCAACTCTGTTCTTAATCGAAGTTCTGAATGGGGTGTATCCATTTTTCAAGATTTTCCTTTACCTCAATCCATTTAAAAAAAAAATTGAAATAGCAAAATCAATATTTTTGGTTGTTGTGGTTAACTAGTTCCACTTATAACATCTTTCCTATTATAATTTCTAATTTATTAGATGTTGGAAGATACGAGGTATCTCTTTATGCATCTTCTACATTTACGTCTGCCATGCACTAATGGAATCTGTAGCAATTATTACAGAAGTCTCCAGTCTATTCCTATGCATTCTTTGGAAATTATTATGTTTTCTCATGTTATTGGCTAAGGGTGTGAACTTCCTGCATGCATAGTCACCTACTTTATTGGCTTTGCTAGTTTTTGAAGCTTTAATCTTTATTGGTTGCCATCAGCACAATTAGTTCTTATTTCCTTCTTTTGAATATATGTTCAATTTTTTGTTGATCTGAATATGAATGTTTAAAAATTATCTTATAATGTGTGCTTGTGCTTGTTTATCTGTCTCTTTTCTTTGATCTCTATTCCTTGATAATATTCTTTATTTAGACACATTCCATTCACTGGTATTTTACTTCTGCTCTGCCTCGTTCGTTACTCGCTGCATATCCGCTTTTCATGGTGAGAGTTGAACTTATAATATTAAAGTTATACTACATTATTATTCTAGCCTACTGCATTTTATTTTATTTTTATATTTTGTAGCTTGGGGTCTTACTTGACAGAAGGCTTCTTCCTCTGGTTTTACCGGCACTTTCGTTTGTTGTACTTTATTCTAAGCTTCCTCACAAGGTATTGTAATGTACATTTATACATGGTTGGCTTGCTTCCCGATTTATTTAAAATAGACGCACACATGCTAAGCTACCACCCAATTGCCTAATCACATATTTTTAATGGTGCAGGAACTCCGTTTTATTATCAGCTCGATTCCGATCTTTAACTTATCTGCTGCAGTTGCAGCAAGCAGAATGTATGTTGTTTTTTTCCTTTTCTTCTTTTTTGAAGATTAAACTATTGGAAACAATTGAATAAATGTTAATAGTTCACATATTTATATGGGAACCTTCTGAATTTAAAAGAAGTATTTAAGAAAAAAAAAATCCAAGCACATGAACACAGTACGTAAAGATATAATAATCTTGTAAGGTTTTGTAGGTACTAGTCATGCTTTAGTTATCCTGGATAATCAAAGATATGATACAGATGATCCTGCAACACTGATTGTTGAATTGATTGCATTCCCCTTTTTGCGTCTATTTTAAATTTTGTGTTAAGTTTTGGATTTCGCAGCCAAAGGAAACTGATCTGGTCAATGGAGGCTGATTGCAGGGTGGGTTGTGTATGTACTAGTTTGAGTTTTTAACTCATTATGACTTAAACTATGGAGGACCTTTTAACTTGCTCTTGGTAGTCATGCATGGTGATGCTTTTTCTTTATGAGTGAACCATGTGATTTTCCTTTTGTTTTCAATTGTTTTTATGTTAGCAAAATACATAATTTACTCCGTCTTCTTGTTACAGCTACAACAACAGGAAGAAGAGCTTCTGGAAACTTCTCAATTTAATCATGCTAGGATTACTTTTAGTTAGGTTTGTTGATTTTTCCCCCTTTTCTTTTTGTTTAAATTATAAGTTTGTTTCCTTGTTGAGAACCATGTCACTACAACTGATTTGTACAATTATGGTCCTTATCCATAAACGTGTGGTTTTCTGGGTATCATTAAGTTCTCTGCGGAACCCACATTATGGATGGTTGAGATATGATTCTAAGTTCATTTTATGTACTTATTTTATTTTGTAGTCTAGGGTGCACAATCATAACTTTCATGGCATCCTATGAGAATTATCCCAGTGGTTATGCTTTAAAAGAGTTGCATCAGATTGGTGAGTGCTTCCTATTTCTCTCTCAAAGGCAAATACGCTCATGCACATAAGTGCTCTCATGTGTTTGTATTACTTACCACTTGTGTACTTGATTTATCCCTTCTGATGAGTTCTTATGATTTATCTAATATGAAAAGAAAAATAAAGAAAATATGGAATGTGGCATATATTTTGGCTATAAAGCATATGTAGTTAAAGATAACAGTATTTTCTCTGTGTGCTTGTGCATTATTCCTTCAATGTTTTTGTGTATTGCTATGGGTTTAGTGGAGGAGGTTGGAAGCTTGTTTTCATGTGTCTCAGAGTTTCTGCTTGTGTGCGCGTCTATTTCAGTAATTTTTGTGCAGGTCAGGCTAGTCGACTATAAAGTTATATATCCTTCTTGTTTTGATGACATCCACCTCCCCCCTCTATTTTTCGTTGTCCTTACATTCAACTAAAATTTATTTGGCTGTAAACATTTTATTTTCCTCTTCAATCTGTTTTTGGATATTTCTTCATTGTGGCTTGCTGATTTTTTCTGCACTGTTCATCATCTAACAGGCCATCTTTCTAACAAGTCCAACGAACTCTGGGTTCACATTGATCCATTTTCTGCCATGAATGGAATATCCCTTTTCTGTGAAAATGAATTGCCATGGAGGTAGTTTCCTTTGCATGAGTTTTTATGTCACACACGAATCATAAAATTAGGTTAACCGATGTGAAAATAGAACTTCATTGCTATAGTGGGAATTGCTGTCATCAGATAAGGTCTAGCATCAAAATATCATCTTAATAAAGCACTATTGTGAAATTTGTAGTATGAGTAATAGGCTTATGTTGCAGGTGAGATTATAGTTGCCTAGCAATATTAGCCTTGTACGGCTTTATGCTGCCTATGGTGCTAGAAGGCTATAACATCACTTGTGTTACTAAACTGGAAATGCTAACCTGTGAGGAATATTGATTCATGCACCATCTTCTGTTAATTCCAAAACTGTTATTAGACCATTTTGCTGAGATCAAGGAAGAATACTTGAAACAGTTTAAAATAAAATTGAATGGATATAGGAAAAACGCTCAAGCGGCTGTAACCCTCCCTCCCCCACTTTCTTTTTAGCTTCTGTCATTCACTTATTGGTAACCTCAAAACAGCAGCGACTGCATATGCCTCTTATATAGACAAATTTGATCTGGTAGGTTACTTGTAAAGCTTTGGGTCGAGAAGCTTACTTCTATGTTGTTCTATTGTCAAATTTCTTCTGAAAGCACCATATTTTGTGTTATTTTCTTGGACTTGTCATTCTTTCTTTACTTGGAATGTTCTTACATAATTATTAATTCAGGTACTCTAAAGAAGAAGAGATTGCCCTCGAGGAATTTTACCTGAGAAACTTCACCTATCTTATAAAGTGAGTTCCCACTTTTGAGTATTTTAATAAATATTCTTCCTGTCAGAATGTGTTGCCTGAAGAATGAGCATTTATCAACGGGAAATGCCAATTTCCAAGACAGGAAATATTTACCAAAATAATATATCATTGAGAATTCATGGCCTTGTTCATACTTCTCCTTAACAGTGAACATCCAGCTATTGATGGGTACAAATGTTTATTTTATGTGAATGGCTTTGGGAGACTTCGTGTCCAGCCAGCATTTCCACCTATCCTCCTGGTAAGGAATCCAAATCATGCATAGTAAACTTGTAGCATGATAGATCACCACTAAATATTCAAACTCCAAATGTTCTGTGCAGGATAGAGAGCCCAAAGTGTATATTCATGGGAACATAAAAAATGAAGAGCTGATGCTTAGACCTTGGTCCGGATGCTCGTAAACTAAGTTGCACTGCAGTTAAATCTTATGCTTTCTTCATTATCTGACAGATGGGCAAGAGAACCAACGGTATGAAATATTTCAACATTGCTTTTCAAATGGCTATTGCACCTATAAGTTAACCATTCCGAGTTTAGGGTATGTAACATTTTATGGGCTAAACCCTTTTTTTTAATCTTATATAAACAAGTATTTTGAACTTTTCAAGCAATCGACCTTTTTTAAAGAAAACAAAAAGCAGCAATTTTCGTACACATCAAATCCTTGTAAAAAGCAGCCAATTTACAAAACCCAAACTCTTAAGAGTTCTAGAAGATGATAAACAAATGGAGTTTACACTTTGTTGCATATTCTTCCTGCTTCAGAAGGGAAGGAAGCACTCAATAAAATCAACACGAAAAAGAATGTAATAAACAAGATAACGCACATAATAATTATAAAAGGAAGATCACATAGTCAACTTCACACTGGTTCTCCTCCTGGGAATTTGTTCAGAGAACACGGCTTATACTTGGTCTCTTCTTTTGCTTCTGTCGCTTTGCAGGCTGGAGAACCACCTTGATAGCAGCATCTAACACAGCTTTCACATTCTGCAATTTTCAATACATAAACCTCTTAATTTTATTTCAAATGAACTTTAACCCAAAGAAAGAAGATCTCAAATCAAATGGCATTGCAGTGCTTAATGGGTAAATTTTGCCATTTGAACACAGATGGTATGAGAACCTGCTGTGTCTTGGAGCTGCACTATATGGCCACTGCTTCTATTTGCTTCTTTAGTTCAAGACCCTGGCAACAGAACTTAAGATATCAAGTATTATATTACAACGTACGTGTACTAAATTATGAATGATTTCCCCAATTTCTATTGTTATCAGATGTAGTATGCAGTTTCAGATTCCGGCAACAAAATGAAAGAATGAACAGGTTCCTGTTCTGTATAAATAGTACACGCCCCCGGATAATCCAAGTGGAACTGTCTGTCGTCTCTTAAATCTGCAGTAAAATTAAATCCATGCATGATAGATATTCAAATAGAGGCTGTAGCTAGAAGATCATGAACATACGTGAGAATATGATGACGAAAAACAAATGATTATAGAGAAACAAAAGCAAAGGCAATCTTTTGACTATGAGATGTAAGAAGTGGGGAAAAAGACAATAGAGAGCAGTTCATATTATTCAGCTCTGGGTTTTTTTTTCCCCTTTCATCAGACATGGCTCAACTATTCTGAGAATCTTGAACCTTGATCGATAAGCAAAGGACTTGATATGGAACCGTCCATCTGCAGAAGCAATACATCAAGGAGGGAGAGAATCCATCACCCAGTTTGGTTCCCACAAGAACAATTGGAGCCGACGGGGAATAATGTCTCATCTCTGGGACGCACTTCTCCAACACAACAAGGAGCATAAAGACATGCAAGGGAATCAGAAACAAGTAACGAACACATTTCATGAGCTAAGCATAAGGAGAAGAGAACTCAGTCACTCACTGAGGATTTAAACTTTAAAAGGAAAAGCAACAACAAAAAGAAACATACTTTTTTTAGATACATTCTCATAGCTAGGTCCACTTATGAGGGAGAAAGCAAGAAGAAACACGTCAGCTCCTCTGTAACTTGGAGGCCTTAATCTGTTAGTCTTCCTGACCTGAGCATATTATAGCATCAACTTTATGAAATCCACTTTGTCCTACATATAATGAAGTCCATGAACAAATATATTTAGAAAGACAGTTATTCAAGGGCGGAGAGGGTAATCAAGGGATGTGAAATTAAATCATCAATAGTTAATATAAAGAAAATACTTAAATTGTATAAGAATTTGAAATTTTCAGGAGATGCGACCGTACCCCTAACACCTCTCGATCCATCCCCGACACTCTTCATTTCATGATGCATGTTTAACTAATAATTGATACCAAAAGGCCATTGGAAGATTTGAAGAAGATAAGTAATGGAACTATGGATGTCAAATGAAAACGACCTCATCCATTCAACTTCCATATTCTTTGTGATTTTTATCTTTCATATTGTTTTTGGGTGATCATACTGAAGCATACCGATATATCAAATATTAGAATTCGAAATAATCAGACTTCACAGTTAACCATCCCGTTATCCAGTAAACAAGGAATTAACAACATTCAGCAATTCGAAACATCTAGACTAGCAATATTTAAGCTCACCACGCTGAACGATTAGACCTGTAAAAGAAACTATGAAAGCAAAGGAGCATATACCGGCAGTATCCCAGAGACCTAAATTGACAGCCAGACCATCAACCATTACATTGGCGCTAAAGTCATCAAAAACAGTAGGAACATAGTCCTGTAAATCATAACAAAAGTACCCCCCAAAATCCCATTACTACAATTCAACAAACACATTCAATGCAGGAAAACAAAAAGGAAGATGAAAATGTAGGATCATATTCATAGAAGAGAAGAGAAGAAGAGGAATGTTCATAACATACAGTTGGAAAAGTGTTGCCTGTATAAGATATAAGGAGACAAGTCTTTCCCACAGCTCCATCTCCAACTGCCACACATTTTATGAATTTCGTTTGGGGTGTAGCCACCGCCGCGGCCGCTCTAGGTGTTGCAGGACTCGTTGTTTGCACTGAAACTCTAATCAAGCCTGAGTTATTTGTTCCCTCCTTTGTCAACGACATGGTGGATCACTTTATTTTGAGCTGTCAGAGGGGCAAAAAGTACGGCAAAATCCTCCAATGTAAAACTTAAGTTCAGTTCCACACGCTATTCGGTGAATGTGAACGTCGGCTCCATTGAATTCTAATGTTTGATTATCATAATGGATTTTTGTTGTACCAAAAACAAAATCATAGTAAACTAATAGGTTTTAGAGGTCAACTGTATACTGATTAGTGTGAAGCACGAGAAGCGACAGCGCGTGTACAAAGCACTATTTATTTATTTTTTGACCAAACAAAGCACTATTTAGATGTTAAAGATAGTGGAATAGTGTCGGATAAGTTAGACCCATCAAAGGTCAACTTTAAAGAGGAAAAAAAAACATGAATATTAGAATATCTTCTTATTTCATCGTTTTGAATTCGTATGGAACTAAAAGATGTAATTATTTTATTTTATACAGATTTAGGATCCGAGTGAAAATATATATATATATATATTAGAATATTAGACGGTGCTTTGAAGCGGGATCCTTCTGATTTCATGGATAATTGTATATCGAAAAAGAATGTCACGGTCCTTTGCTTTGATTCCTTGGTCTTAAGCTTTAATCTCAGCTCTTTTTTTAATATAAGTATCGGTATCCGATCTATTAATTGATTAATTATGATTGTATACTATAGAAATAATGGCAATCCTCTCAATCTAAGTTATTTCATTAAAAAAACATCAAGATTTAAACTCTTAACTTAATTAAGAAATCTAATACTTTATTTTATTATATCAATCTGTCGTCGATTCAATCTATTTTTTTTCCTTTTGGCAACAACACACCGTTATCAAGTAAAACAAGCAGCCCTACAAACCCACCCTACAGTACTGATAGAGTCAACTTCAACATCAGCATGCTTACCTCTCTTTCTGTTTCCCTTTAAATGAAAAAGAAATCCACCCCAACACAGATGATAAACTGCACCACTCTCCAATTCAATTTAGTTAGTATATTTTTCAAGGAAACTTGAAAATGACCCTTTGGAGAATGGCCTATACTTGAATACTTGACTTCCTTGCATAGGTTTTCGTTCCCAATTCATTTCCATTGGCTAAAAAATGATTATAGTACGTGACATATACATTATTTAATAACAATTTAGAGGTAAAGCTCGGTTTCTATGGGCTTGGTACTTGGAGGCTGTTCATGGGAATCCAATAATTCTAGGAGTAAAGTATATAAATGGTAACTCGACTATAAGAAGTTACTTTATTAAGTCATCTGATTATAAAAAGTTATAAAATAGTCATTCGATGATTCGTATGTTTTAAACTCGTTATTTTTTCGTTAAAAAATTGATGACCGTCTAAGATGGATGTTAACATGTTGATTTAGATATGATAAAATCTGATCCTAAAATCATTTTAACTGTATTTTGTGGATTAAATATTCGTTTATTTCTCTGCATTGATATTGGAAATTAAAGTCGGGAGCTTTTGGAATTTGGGGTTGTGGAAATACAAGGAAAGTTATGCATAGTCATAGAGACCGAGGAGGAGGACCGTTGGATCGGAAGCGCATAAACGATGCGTTCGACAAACATCTAGACAAGCCTACCCCATCCACTTCGAGGGGTTTGAGGAACAGCAAAGACAAAGGAAGACCCTCTGTTCCTTCAGCTTCCCCGCTAAATCCCAGCTATCTCATCGCGATTCACGTTCCAAAGCCAAATGTTCCTATGGTTAGTTACTTTTCAGTCACTTTCCTTCTTTGTTAATGGCTTATTTTATTTGACGTGATAGAACAATGGTGTTTAAATGTACTTGTATTTCCATGTTTGAAAGTTTGATTTAGGCTATATGATTCCTTTGTTTATTTATGTTTAGCTAGGATTGTGTTTTTAATTCTTATGGTAAATTTTACAGTTTTCTTGTCATGCTTGTATTAACAATCTCAGATCATCAGACATTATTGATATAAACAAGTAATATAAAATGTGAGGTTCTTCTCTAATACCTGGTAATTCCTGTCCTTGATTGCAGAGGAATCTGAAACTGACAGTGAAGAATCAGATATTAGTGCTTCCGATGGAGATGACACGTCTTGGATCTCATGGTTTTGTGGTTTGCGGGGCAATGAGTTTTTTTGTGAAGTTGATGAAGAATACATCCAAGATGACTTTAATCTTTGCGGGTTGAGCAGTCAAGTTCCGTATTACGAATACGCCCTTGATTTGATATTGGATGTTGAATCTTCACACAGTAAGCATTTTACTGACTTGATTTTCATGTATAAATTTTGGATAATTTTTTATCTATTTGAGGAGTTGCTTTTGAGTTCCGAAATTTAGGCTGTTGTTAGTGAATGTTTGTCTCCTTTGCCCATAAATCTTTTATCTGGGGTAAGGGTTCTAGAGTTGGATAGTTTCGGTTTTGGATCCTCATGCAGATTCTGACCGGGAAAGAATTTAGAAGAGTAGATCAAAATTTCCTGGGAAATAAGGTGCA